GTGGTTTGTGTGTGGGAGGGGCAACCACATTGCCACTTTTAGGACTAGGAGGGGTCTGCTGTGATGAACCGCATGTTCAGTCCGTGTTTCACCTGATCTACCCTGATTACACACATGCCCTGAGCAGACTAATGAAACAAACACCTGCAGCTGAAGTCTGATTTGGGGGAAAACTGATGTTCTAATGGTTTCCAATGCAACCATATGTAAAGTCCCAGACAGTGAGGGGAATAAGTAGCAGATCCAGGGGACCTCTTCAGAAACATGGATCCGGTTTCTATGCAAATGAAGGAGGGACAGAGATACAAGGAAATGAGTTTTCCCTGTAGCTGGTAGCGTGCTCTTTTTAAAAAAAAAAAAAAAAAAAAAAGTCATTACCTGGAAATAATTCCTCTTTGCTTCTGTAGGTGCAAGAACTCTGAAGACAAGATTGGCTGGTTTCGCTTCTCCCTCACCCTGGATCCCTTATAGGAATCACAGATGTAAGTGCTGCAGGAAGTTCGTATCCATCCAGTTTCTTAGTGTGGTCCCAAATTGGTACCCCCAGCCAATGTCGCCATCGGAGGAGGTATGGGACAAAAATAGGGTACTATGGCAGACATAGTTTGCCAGCAGTTAACAAATGTCTGGCATAGGGTACATCATGCATTCCTCATTCAGTGACAAACAGTCTCTGAACTGATCTTCCAAACATTGCCAGGCTGCCTTTCAGTGCCTGAAGCTGCAGGTGCTTTCAGAAAGCCATATCTTTCTGCACATATGAACGGGGACTCCCTGCTGCAGAACTTTACTGGGGTAACTGCTTAGTAAAGGTTTGCTATTTGGGGAAATTCACAGGGTGTTCTTTCTAGGGAATCCTCTTGCTCTCAGAGCTGTTCATTTAAGGGAGAGTGGCCGCGATGACCGTTCCTCTTGCTGCCACAAGCCATGGGCAGTGGGATTTTGTGTCATCGCAGATTAAGCTTGGCCTTTCTTCACTCAGGGTGCTTTTGGATGGGTTTGGCCGTCCGTTAGCACCTTCTGAATTTTGCGGGGTCAGACACTCAAAGAGGCAGAAGGGGACTGGACTCTGGGGACAGAAATGGGGTTTAAAAACAACCTGCTCTGTAAACTTTAGGCAGTGGGCTATAGTAACCAGATAGTAATTTTTCAATGTGAGCTGAAAGATTGCCTGCACTGAGGCACTAGGAGCTATGCTGGCCTCAGCTGGGAGGAGTTAGCTTCACTGCACCAACTAGGTTTCCAAGACGCAACTGTGTGCTGCATTCTGCATCTTTGAACCTTTATCTTTACAGGGATGATTTGAGATGAGCCTTAAAGGAAAGGAAAATGTATCTTTCTCTCCACCAGCATCAACTGTAAGAGAGAATTTGGGGCCTGAAGATTAAAAGATTTGCCCTGTCTCCAATCTGCATTACAAGGACTCTTTGAAGTTATGTCCAGGAAAGGCTATACTAAAAACAGGATAAATAATAAAACTAGATTGAATGGATGTGTAAAAGTTGGGTGTTTTTTGTACAAAAGGGCAGTGGTAGAACAGGGGGAAATGGCGCTTTCTCAACTCTAATCCACTGGTCTGAATTCAGCCCAGGTCAGTAGTGGCTGTAGTTGGGATTTTCACAGGAGATTTAAGGGAGTTAGATGCCATGCTGCTTTAGGCTTCTTTGAAAATCCCATCTTTAATCCATTGCAATTTTCAGTTGCCCTTTCTGTGAAATGAGTTAGGGCTTGATCTCATGTCTGAGATACAATATCTGTCCAGGTATTTTTAAAACTCCTAGTCACTAGTATCGATGGACTTGTACAAAACTGAGGATCAGGATGGTTAACTAACATTGATCTATTTACTGCTGTGTCCAAAATTACTTTCCACTCTTCCGTGAATTGACTCCACCATGTCCACTATCTGTTTTCTACTACCAACACCATTTAGGTTAGGCTGAGATTTTTCAGATGCACTCAGGATTTGGACACCCAGTTCCCATTTAAAAAAATAATGGGAATTTAACAGGCAAATCTCATAGATTTGAAAATCTTAACCTAAATGTATTTAAACCATGTCTCCCCGACCCTACAGGTGCACACTCACTCCTCTGACACCAGCTCAGACCTTTATTTCGTGCTTCGAATGTTGGCATCCTCTATCATCCTGTTTTCTCTTCACCCCAAATAAACAGATGTAGATCCTTTCCCCATTGAGCTGGGGGCCACCACTGCAGTCCTGCTACATCTTGCAGCTGTTGTGCTGAACAGCTGGGAGGCAGCGAGAGAGATGGAGCTGAGAGGCAATGCTATGTGAACCAAATTCAGCAACATGTGGTTTTGAGTTTAGACAGCCGGGGGAGTTATATTGAAGTCAGGACAAATTTTCAGTGTCATGAGCAGAGATGCCAAGCTGGACCCTCAAAACCAGGGCCATCCCAGAAAACATGGGCCATTTGGTCATCAAGAGTTTGAACTAGCTTTTGGGGGTTCAGCTGAACACAAGAAACAAGCATTTCCCCAAAATCATGTATTTAACATTAAACCAGCATGAATCTTAAAAATTTGTAATTCTCCATTTTTTAATTTTTTTTGTTGTACTCCATATTATGGAAGAAGTTGCAATTTTATTCTTTTAACGTGATTGCATTTTAACTGTGGGTGAAGGTCTCTCAGTTTGATAGCTTTTCTGTACATATGTAATGTGATAACTTTTGAACACTGCAGGCAATCATTTCCAACTTTTCAGGGAACATTTGAGGTGCTGAGGGCCAGCAACCTGTTCACTTTTGGGAAAATTGGAAAACCAAAAGGGAAAATGGGAGGAGGGACAGATGGACACATGGAGCCTTTGCCAGCTGTTTAGCACAGCTGCTGCTTCAAGCAACTCTGCAATTGTCTATAGACTAAAGAACTGGTTGATGGAAGCCATTAACCCTTTCCACCATAACAGTGCCCCTAGCTCATTTGTGTGTCCTACCACCAGAATTTAACATTTGACACCCTAAATAGCTTCTCATAGACCTATAATAGGGAGAGGGGAAGTGGGGGCACACACACAGCCCCTGGTATGGGGGGGGGGAAGGGGAAGTGGGAGTGCACAGAACCTAGTGGGGGAAATCCGGTTTGGGGGAAGGGGGCATAGAGGGGTATAGGGTGCAGAGAGAGCCCCTGAGGTGGGGGCGGAGAATGGGGAATTGGGGCATATCCAGCCCCTGCAATTGCAGGGGGAGATTGGGGGACCCTGCTATAGAGAGATGTGGGAATGGGGGCTGTCATAACTATAAAGGGAAGGGTAACAGCCCTCCTGTGTAAAATACTATAAAATCCCTCCTGGCCAGAGACTCCAAAATCCTTTTACCTGTAAAGGGTTAAGAAGCTCAGGTAACCTGGCTAACACCTGACCCAAAGGACCAATAAGGGGACAAGATACTTTCAAATCTTGGTGGAGGGAAGGCTTTTGTTTGTGCTCTTTGTTTTTGGGGAGAGTTCGCTCTTGGTACTGAGAGGGACCAGACATCAATCCAGGCTCTCCAAATCTTTCTGAACAAGTCTCTCATATTTCAAAAATAACAGGAGTACTTGTGGCACCTAGAGACTAACAAATTTATTAGAGCATAAGCAAATTTGTTAGTCTCTAGGTGCCACAAGTACTCCTGTTATTTTTGCGGATACAGACTAACACGGCTGCTACTCTGAAACCTGTCATATTTCAAACTTGTAAGTACAGCCAGGCAAGGTGTGTTAGTTTTATCTTTGTTTTCTCAACTTGTAAATGTACCTTTTACTAGGGTGTTTACCTCTGTTTGCTGTAACTTTGAACCCAAGGCTAGAGGGGGGTCCTCTGGGCTCTTTAAATTTGATTACCCTGTAAAGTTATTTTCCATCCTGATTTTACAGAGATGATTTTTACTTTTTTCTTTAATTAAAAGCCTTCTTTTTAAGAACCTGATTGATTTTTCCTTGTTTTTAGATCCAAGGGGTTGGATCTTGATCCACCAGGAGTTGGTGGGAGAAAGGAGGGGGGATGGTTAATTTCTCCTTGTTTTAAGATCCAAGGGGTTTGGATCTGTATTCACCAGGGAATTGGTGAAGAGTCTCTCAAGGCTACCCAGGGAAGGGAATCAGCACATTGGGAGTGGTGGCAGCGGACCAGATCTAAGCTGGTAGTTAAGCTTAGAAGTTTTCATGCAGGCCCCCACATCTATACCCTAAAGTTCAGAGTGGGGAAGGAGCCTTGACAGGGGCATACAGAACCCCTGCCACATGGTAACTTTGGGGATCTTGGCATGGGGGTAAGTGGGAATGGGGATGCACACAGAGCTGCTGGCAGGGGGGAAATGGAGGGATGCAGGGAGTCCCTGATGTGTGCAATAAGCTCAGCCTACAGAAGCTATGAAATGTACAAGCCACCAAGTTAAATCCAAATATAACAGTATTGACACCCCCCCCCCCCCCAAACCAGCTGGTAAGATTTGCAGTTAGCAGGGTGGGTGGTTGATTGAATCCATGTGGAGTTATTTTATGGCATGGGGAATTGCCACGAAAGCTTATGCTCCCAATACTTCTATTAGTCTTAAAGGTGCCACAGGACCCTCTGTTGCTTTTTACAGATTCAGACTAACACGGCTACCCCTCTGATACTTGATTTATGGCATGGTTATTCTGGGGGGGGTGAGACCAGTACAAACAGGGATGTCTTTTAGCATCCTGGGAAATGGAGTCTTAAATCACCAGCTGTCACAAGTTCAAAGCTGGCCCCTTCCAGCAGCAGCACCTCCCATCAGTGTAGGAGGCAGGATAGAGAGTCAATAAAGAGATGGTTGCTCATGTATTGCCCCTAACACGCAGATGAGCACCATTTTGACATGCCTGTTATTGGGATTCTAGAGGTGCTGTTTTGATGTGGGTTGAGAGGGCAGTGTGGGTGCCATTTTGACATGTTTTTTTATGGGGAGACCATGGGTGCTATTTTGAGATGCAGTTGGGTTCAGTGTGCCATATTGATGTGGCTTTTATGGGGAACCTGTGGGGGTGCCATTTTGATAGGGGTTGAGAGGTGGGATGTTGGGTCTCTTTTTGACAGTTCTTATTGGAATCTCATTGGTATCATTTTGAGATGGGTTGGAGGTGGCATATGGGTGCCAGTTTGACTTGGCTTTTTGTGGGGGAAGCCTTGGGTACCACTTTGAAAAATGTTGCAGTGGGTACCATTTTGACATGGCTTTATGGGGAAACAGTGGATGCCATTTTGATGCAGGTCAGGGAGCGGACGTGTTAGTGTCATTTTCACGTGGATCAGGAGCGGGCGCGTGGCTGCCCTGTTGAAATGGGTCGGGCAGGTGGGTGCCCTGGTGACGTGAGTCAGGGAGAGGGCACGTGGGTGCCCTGGTGACGTAGGTCAGGGAGTGGGTGCACCGGTGACGTGGGGCTGGCAGCGGCAGGTCGGGCAGCGGGGGAGGGTGCCCTGGTGACGTGGGTCGGGCAGCCGGGGGGGGGTGCCCTGGTGACGTGGGGCCTGGGTGCTAGCTCAGCAGCAGCACGCGGGTCTGCCTGGGCTTGTCGGCAGGGAAGGCGGCGCTGCGGTCGCTCACTCCCCCATGTCATGGCCCCCTCCCCCTACAGTGGTTGTGCAGAGAAGCCGGGGAGGGACTTTCGGACCAAACCATTTCCGCAGAAGGGGATTGTTTTGTGTAAACAGCAAGCTGAGACCCTTTTTGGCGCATTTTGGGACACCAGCCTCTAGTCAAAATATTTTGTAGTGAATTTTTGTCTTTATCCCTCAAGAGCTAGATGGATTTTGCGCCACCTCACCTCCTAGTCCTTTCCCCCTTTCTCTATAATGGTACGTCCCACGCTCCTTCCCCGCTCTCCCATCAAACAGGACACCAAAGCAGGGCGGGCGGCGCGAAACGCTTTGGGACGCTGAAGGGAGACGCTTTTGCGCGCCGCGACCGTTGGCGGGTGCGAGCGGGAGGGAGTGGGGGCGACGCCGGAATGCTGCGAGGGGAGGGGGAAGCGCACGGAAGCAGCGGCGCATGCGCAGATATGGATTTACTCGCCAGAGGCGGTTGCTAATTTTCCCGCCCTTTCCCTGCCCCAACGATTTTTTTTAACCGCTGCGTGGTTTAAAAAAGCCGGTTCAATGAGCGAGTAGCCCCCACATTATTTTGTGGGGTACTAGCTCCTCCCCACACCCCGTGTCAGTCTTGCCTGCCAAATATAAACGTGTGTCAAATTCACCTCGCAGGGCACGAAGGTACAGCCGCTATTTTATAAAATGGGACCGTTTGTGACTCAGTGGCCCTGTCAAAGCCAATGGGGCAACCCCCCTCCACCCTATACAGACACACACGCACACTCCTAAAAATGACAATGGGGTGCCCACTAATCCCACATTGGCTTATATCAAAGCTGCGAGGCACCCGTTTTGGCGCATGTCATGCTTATGCTGTGTCAATGTTGGCTCATGCCAAGCCAGTGTGGGTGGATGCCCTAAAAAGTCCACTT